GGAGAGAGAGAGAGAGAGAGAGAGAGAGAGAGAAACTATTTGTATTTGAGAGTATAATGTGTTTGTACTACTAAAGAAATAATAACAATATATTTCTTAGTGTCCACCACTCTTCTCAACTCAACAAGTGGTATCAGAGCCTGAATTTGGTGTGTGTATCTGCTTATCGTATGCTCTGTGGCTGTCACCAAAGGTGGATCCTCCACATCAAAAAATAAATTATATTATCTTTTACCCTTTGAATATTCATGAGTATGGTACTATTCACGAATACTGTTACTGTTTATAACTATGATTATTGTTCACGTGAAATAGTAGAATTTGTAGTTCGTGATAGAAGTAAGGAGCTCGGGACCCGATCTCTCCTACGTTGATCCTATTGGCATTCTTGAAGGCCCAAGCTCGTGTTCAGTCCGGGACTATGAAGTTGGTTGGTCAGGGACCAAACTTGCGTGGAGATACTGAAGCAGTACCACGTCATGATTGCGGATCTGGCAATACGACTACTACACTAGAAACTCAATGGTAATAATTATAACTACTGGGAGATGTGTATGAAGTCATATTTACAAGGACTAGACCTCTAGAAGGTCATCGGGGATGCTGAAACTACATCCCCTTGGGAAGCTGGCGAAGCAAGTACTAAGAAAATGGAACATCAAAGCCGGCAAGGCTATGTATGTGTTGAAGAAAATAGTAGAAGAATATCTCGTAGACTATATGCGAGATGCTAGAACTCCGAAGGAGGCATAAGATGCGCTCGCAATACTCTTCTCGAAAAAGAACGATGCTCGTCTTCAACTCCTGCAGAATCAATTGATAACCTTACAATAGAAGGATCTGACAATCAGTCAATACTTCAAGCAAATAAAATCACTCTGTTCAGATATTGCTCATCTAGATCTAGATTCTAAAATATCTGATGCAAGGATGAGGAGAATAACAATCTACAGTTTTAGACCAGAATATCACGGTCTTGTTGCTGCTACACACAGGTGGCCGACTCAACCAACATTATTAGAGTGTGTATTTGTACTACTAAAGAAATATTAACAATATATTCCTTAATGTCCGGCCACCACTCCTCTCAACTTAACAGAAGAGTAGGTTATGTAGCATTACACCTGGTTTTGCTTTTGCCAACCGCTCATATTTTTTTTTCCCTTCTGCTACATTGGATCTTCTAGACTTTCTGGACTTTAGGGCAATTCATTCCTTAAATTATAGAAATGGTGGGTGTCGTTTCTCTCTAGATGATGATGTTCTCTTTTTACATGTAATTACTATCTTAAAAACTCCTGACCGTTGGATTGTGAGTTTCTATTTATGGGACCCAGGTTGTTTCCCAATTTACACTGGTGACGGAGCTAGGTAGCTATCCTAGCAAATAATCACACCTTAATTTACACCCAAGTACTTTAAAGCTTTGCTGTATTCTTCCAGGAGCTAGCGAAGAAAGAAAAGTGATCTCGTAATCATTTATTTTGGAGACCGGCCTACAAGAGTGCAGCCAACCCAAATTATTGCTGTGTTAATTGATGAGAAATGCCAAAGGGAGGCGGAGCTCGCCAAGCCGCAAAGTCGCACTCTGCTTGTCTGAATGGGGAAGGAGACAATAACTGAGAGAAAAGGTGTTTGCATTATTCACAGCTGCTGATGTCTCAATGAGAGGATCCCATGCTACGTACGCATCCCACGTTGCGGGGCTTTAGCTTTTTGTTCTCTATCGGCCACCCGAGAGATTCGATGTTAACAAGACGAGAGAGCAGCCTGGGTCAGCTTATGGGAACGCCGGAAGATACGTTTCTCCTTCGGTGCCACATATGAGTAGTTATAAATGGTGTGCCGCGGTCGGATTAATAAAAACGAGATATATATGTATATGTATATATATAGAAGGGCCCGAGACTACCAATGATTCGATGTACATGTTGTCTAGAGATACCCATTTCCAGACTTTCAGTTGTACTGGTGCCCTTGTGTGCGGTAGCAGCGCACCGTGACTAATGCAATTATATGTAGATCGTTCAGATTGGAGCTGTCTTGGACAAAATTGGAAGCTAGGGTCCTGTTGAGGGGAACAGTACTGATCAGAAGTTGTGATCGATTAAATATCATCATTAATTATTGTCTTTATATATAGCATCAAAACAATATTAATTGGAAGCTAGGTTCCTGTTGGGAGGAACAGTGATCAGAAGTTGTACGTGATCGATTAAATATCATCATTAATTGTCTTTATATATAGCATCAAAACAATTTACATGAGTTGCTATATATTACCTTGCATATATATATATATTACTGCCGATCATTTTTCTAAATCTTGTGAGAGCCTTTTACGTACGTACGTTTAATTTCTATCAGAAAACACTGTTCCAAATAATTTTACATGAACATAATAATATATATAAATATATATAGATAGATAAAGATCAGACTTGTTAACAAAGATTTATTTAGTCATGTACGTTCTTGCACATGTGGACTCCTGTAGATC